ATTGTACAGTAGGCACTTATTTACTGCTTCATACCCACTGAACATCAAGGGCATCAGTCTCACACTCCTGTTTGATTTATAATACTGGGTACTCATGGTAGCTCTTGAGCATTGCTTGACTTTTGCATTTGTGGAATATTTTCACAGGTGAGCTACACATCTTGCTGCTGTCTCTTACAAAGATAATCATCTGCCTCCATATTTTCCCTGTAGTGTGCAAGCAAAGTGGCAAACTTTCTGCAGCTGTAAATACACCAAACACCATTGAAGTCAATGGAACTGCATCTGCTGTTGACAGGAGTTGACAGAAGTTGAATATGTTATCAATATTCTCTTTACAAAAAATTAGAAGATTTTAAATAAATAATTGATTTAATATTGCAACATTTTCCTTCTCCAACTTATGCTCCAACTCCAACTCTGGCTATGAATCAAAGTGAGAGGGATGCAATTTCTATTGTTTCCTGCAGTGAAACATTCCCTGGAAGCCTTACAGTGTGGTGAGAGAGATGGCTTTCAGCATGGGAACAATATGACTGAAATAATACAATAGCCAGTTTGATGGACAACTTCCAACTTCAGAATTCGTGAAGATGCACATGAGCAGCTAGTTGTGTCCAGAAACAAAAAGGCTACCTGGTTCACAAGGAGCTATCCAAGAGTTGTGGTGCTGATTGCTCTGGGGTACAAGGGTGTTGCAGCCACAAAGGTGGTAAATATTAGACCAGGCAGGCTTTAGAGAGCCAGAGGAACATTAAGTGCTTTGTGGTAGAGAGACGCTAACTGTAAAGGCCAAAAACTAGCCTCCTTTTGGCAAATACAAAAATAAAGAAATAGATAAACTCAAGTGCCTAGATGACAAGATGTCAGCTCATCTATAATTAACTATCACTTTTAATGGTCCCATGAAACTGTCTTGGTGAGAAACGCAAAGTGTCAGTCCTGTATCCACAGTGAGGAATCCGACTTAAAACAAGCAGCTTTGCTGTACTTCAAATGCACAAATAAAACGTAAACCACTGAAGCATGAAATGGAAGTTATGGACTGTGGGCTGTGTTGCTAAATACTGCTTCACGTGCCTACTGGAAACAGATCATTTGAGAAAATGGCAGGCGCTCTTGTAGCTATTGAAGTGAAGGAGATTTAAGGCTGCGGTTGCTGCCCCCGCTGAAAAAGTTGTCCATTGCGACCACTAAACGCTATACACATTCTGGAATGTGTGTTGTCATATGGAGTTCATTGCATATCCTGTTGCTTTATCACTATCCCACTGAAATCCTCCATTTATCCTTAAACAGACATGCAGAGAGGCACAGAACACAAAGAAAGTGCACAAAAGGGGGGAAATATAATAGAGCAGAAAATGAGAAAAGGGGCAAAAATATTAAATATATGCTCCCCGCCTGATTACTAGGTCTCATTATTACTGCCCGTACTCTGAGGAGTCCTACAATATAACCAAGAACCCAAGCGTATTATACTACTGAATACAAATTTAGAAATATCAGGGATGTTTAATTTGGAATAGATTATAATTTATATCAGGGGCGGCCATCCTGTGGCTCTGGAGCCACAGGCGGCTCTTCAGAAGTTAACATGCGGCTCCTTGTATAGGCACCGACTTGGGGGGCTGAAGCTACAGGTGCCAACTTTCCAATGTGCCAGGGGGTGCCCACTGCTCAACCCCTGGCTCCTCCGCAGGCCCTGCCCCCGCTCCACCCCTTTCCGCCCCCTCCCCAGAGCCTGCTGTGCCCTCGCTCCTCCCCCGCCTCCCCTCCCGAGCCTCTTGCATGCCACGAAACAGCTGATCAGGAGGTGCGGGGAGGGAGGGGGAGGTGCGGATCAGTGGGGCTGCCAGTGGGCGGGAGGCACTGGGAGCCAGGGGGAGGCTGCTGATGTATTACTGTGGCTCTTTGGCAATGTACATTGGTACATTCTGGCTCCTTCTCTGGCTCGGGTTGGTCACCCGTGATTTATATAATGATTTGCCCACAGGAGAGCTTAGTCCTAGCATGAGGCTCACCTCATCTGACTTTTTGCAGATCACCCCTGGTAAAGTCAGAGTAGGACAAACACTGGGAAGCACAGATGACAAAACTGACACATGCAACTCTGAAAGGTGGTTATCACTGTTACATAGACTCACATCCAAAAATAACTATAACTATATATACACCCCATCAGTACTGAAAATTAATACACCAGTTTCAGAAGTATAATTCCCCATCAGTTAAACAGAGCCATTATTAATGTAAAAATACATTCTAATACATATCTAATAGCACCCTCTGGAAGCTGCCCAATAAAGCCCATCTTTCCAACTTAAGTCTATTGTCAGCAATGGACGTATTAATAAAAATATACACAGTATTAGCATCTGTGGTTAAGCAGAAGCAGAGCATATTCAGAAAGATTTATTAAAGGACGATGCATCTAACGTAGAAAGGACAGAACAATTAACGTAACAAATTACTGTTCAGCCTAACAAATTCTACCTATTGTATAAACTTGCTTCTGTCATCCTGCATTTCTGCTCGTTTAAGCAGTGTGGTAACTTGGTATCTTCTCCACCTCCTTCTCTCCCCCTATCTACTTGACAACTTCCATTATAATGAGACATATGGTATTTGTGTACTTCCACCACAGCTAACATATTAGTAATACACTGACCTCGCAGCAGCACCAAGTAGAACAAGAAATAAATACTCAGAGGGATTAATCCAGAGAGACAATGAAAGGACTGAATTTCTTTATGGCCACTCTGGTAAGAGTGCTTTCCTTTAGGAAAATTGTTTCAGTTGCCCATATGAAACCCACACAGCACAAACTTACTATGTGTAGGGGAGGGGAGAGAGCAAAGTGGGAAAACCTCCCATTTGTCCTGTTTTTTTCCTGCACTGTAATATAGAGTAAGGGTAAACTAGGAAGAACTACTTACTATTTATATGGCCAGGCAAAAGCAATCTTTTAAGCTTGAAAATTCCTGCCAAAATAAACACTCTGGGGCAGATCTCCATCCAGCATAAGTCAGCAGAAATCAGTGAAGCTACCCTGACATAGCTGGAAGCCGAGCACGCTTCTTACAATCTCAGTTTAATGCAATCTGGGGCCCATGGAGCCCCCATGTGGCCCTGGCCCCCTTTGATGTGTGGCAGTAGCTGGGTAGGTCACTAAATATCCTACCCATTGGGATACATAGGGCAGCTCCCCTGCCAACAATAAATCAAAACCTGAAAATGCAGGAGGTTTGGAAGGTTGTTTTCCAAATCCAAGATATGTTTGCTTTTTTGAAAACCAAAGTCTTAGAGTTTTTGTTTAAATACTAGAGGGGGGAAAATGATTCTGTAACAGATTGCTCCTTTAAAAGGCCACTTTTTGTATGAAAAAATGTTTTAATGAAACATTTCAAGTTATCACTACATGTGACAACAAACAGCGAGCAAGAGAAGAAGCCACCAATGTCTATGGAGTTTTTTTCTAAATGGAAAGTATGACCTCGCTTGATGAGAACTTTTGTCCACCTATAAAAGCAATCTGCCTTCAAGCACATATTTAGTACACAGGTACTTGACTGGATGTACTTATTACCTAACAATTCTGAATACTGAAACAATTGGCATTTATGCAGGTCTAAGGGGAGTTTTCATCTGGATAATGCTGCTGTCGTAGCTAATACTAGTCCACACACTGAAATTGCTTCTCATTATGGTGAGGGTATATCACAGAGTAAGTATACCCCATCAGGGGGATTGTCCTTGGCTTCAGGGCAGCATGGCCAAATGACCAGAGTCAATAAGACTGTCCTTCAGTGCAGAGTGTTCCAGCCTAATGGCTGGAGTCAGTGGGCACCAATAAATCTTACTCCACCTCTGGTCAGATGCAATTTTTTTATTTTCCTGTATAAAGAATTTCAGTCATCCAATCAGGGGGCAGTAACATTACCATGTGATTTAAGTGACCAATCAATACACCATCAATACAGTATAGCAAATTACATGTAGTCAAAGTAAACACTTTGTGAATAGCCCACAGGATGTGAATTGTTCATCCAGATTATTCAGCACATCTGAACAAATACAGTAGCAGAAATTAGGATCAGCTGGAGGGCAGACTGAAGGGCTACATTATTTAGATAATCTATTCAGAAAGATTAACTCAGCGACCTTTAGTCTCACTGGCTTTAATTAAGTCATCTGCTTAGGTTCATCAGATGGTTAATCTTTTAAAAGAAATGCTTCACTTGTGTTTGCAAGAGACCTGTTATTGTATTTTAATTTTAAAATGGATACATCAGAATCTGGCACCAAGTGTATTCCTCAGTTTGTTTCTGTATGTAAGTAGGGTTTAAAAATATGTATTTTTGACAGTTAAAACTGATTTCATACCTTTTAAAAGAAATCCTACAATAAAAGTTAACAAAGTGCTATCAATAACTTTAGTGACTGTGTCTATTTCAGTACAGGGAGTCCTCGGACTTTTGATGCCTGACTTACATCGGACGCCACGTATGGCGCTTTTCAATTGACTACCTGTTTCACCCCATCGATGCTTGTTTCACCCTTATGACGCTCAATTTGCCTAAAGTTTGTTTGAAATCACTTCCTGGTTGCAATATACTGGTATGGAGCTGGAAGGGGTCGCTTCTGAATGGCTTCGAGGCAGCATGGTAGCTTGTTGCCAGGTAGGGTTTGCGCTTGTTTTTTATTGGCTCCCAGCCTCAGGCTCAGCCAATCAGAAAGCTTGGACAGTGATTGGCTGAGATTCAGCATGTGTACCATGCTTCCTGGCTTTCTGAGCCTATGTTGCCAGAATGCTGTTTACAAAATATAGTGTACAGTAAATACATTGATGTTGCAACGTTAGTCATCTATAATTCATTTAGTACAAAAATCTGGGTCATTGTGGTGAAAATAGTGTATCAAGCCTTGGTTCAGGAACCAATCCCCCCTTCATACCATTGATTCCCATGGGAAAAGGGGTTTCGATTTACAACGTTTTGACTTACAACGCAATTCTGAGGAACGAATTGTGTCATAAGTCCGAGGACTCCCTGTAGTTTAATTACCCTATAAGGAATCAAATGATTTTCAATCAATGTTCTTATCCTATAAAAGTTGTGTAAAGCATCTACAGTAGATTCATCACATCATATTACATCATCTACATCATAGATTCATAGGTTCAACTACTCTTCCATCTCCCGCCTCACACATGGAATAATTGTATCCATTAACCCTTTGTTACACAGGGTTTTGGAACTTGTTTTAAAGAGGCTAGATAAATTTCAGAACCAAAGTAAATCAAATAGAGGTTATGTTGGTGGAGTAAGCCCCTAACTCCTTCCCATATCCATCTGACTGGGGGAAGGATAGGGAACTCCCATAGCTGTGGATCCTCTAGCCCTGTTTGATGTCTGTCTCTTTTCTGCTTGGCCCTGGCCCACTCCCTAACACATTCTTTGCAACAGCAATTTGGAAGCTCCTAAGAGCCAAGCTATATGCACTGCAAAGTATGCACCCCCTATATATGGTCCTCTCTCCTCCCTACATGCGCCAGAATCATGTCTAGCCCGACTGCACATGGGGACCTCTGTGATGTGAGAGGTGGTGGTAGATTACACTCTATAGAAGTCTGATGTCCAGATCCCTGTATACACAGTACTGGGGATGGATGACATGTTTGGAACCAAGAGCAGTGCTACAAGATGAATGAGATGAAATATCACCACAGTCAGATGTCAGCAATGAAAATACCACAACATGACACTACAGAGTACCAATCGGCTTCTGAGGGTGATTCATAGCACCTCGAATCCGCTTTCCAGCAATCCATGGCAACGAATGTTGGCCCAGCACATTAGAGACAGAACAGGTGTTGTGGCATGTCATTAGGAATCTGCCTTATTTGCAGAACAGACTCATCTATTATTACTGCTATTGTTTCTTGGCTCACTACAGTTCCCAGCACTCCCTACTTTTGTCAGAAGGAGGCACATGCTGTGAGGTTTCTAAGTCGATTGACTCCGACACATCTGCCATTTCACTAGCAAAATGACTTGCCTGTTCTCCATATCAAAGTCTGGCAAGAGAATGTTTTCCATCTGGTTCTGAAGCAAGGGTCAAGAAGTGATGCCAAGACATATTGTTCCTGCTCAAACATGCCACTGATCCCTTTATCTTCAGTCAGGATTTGGTACATTGCCTTGGCTAGCACAGCATCTTTCTTGCGGTTTTCCTCTCTCCCTGGAAGTGACAAACTAAAGAGAAAGCCACAACTCCCATATGGCAAGTTTTAAAATCAATCAAGGTAATACATTTCATGCCGTCTGCACCTTACACAGAGACAAAATCAGCCAAGGCAAACCCTCCCGGCTGGGCATATCTCCAGCAGACAACCATCAGCAACACAAACGACCACCGTGAATGGATGGAGGCAACAGACATCAGAGTGAGCAGACACCTGTGAATTGGGTTCCCAGCAATGGATATAATCCCCTAGTGAACTACTAGAGGCTAGATTTCTAGCTATTTAGCACAACCTTATCCAAAAGTGCAGCCCTTCAATCTCAGCTTACACCTCGATATAGCAAAGCATTTAAGCACGTGCTTAACTTTAAGCACAGGAGAGGGTCCCACTTGTTACAATGGGACCATTCCCATGCTGACATTTAAATAAAGGCTTACATGTTCATCTGGATTGTGGGGTTAATGACCAAAAACAATGGCATTGACATTGGGGGGATTTTCCAGGTGCAGTGATGCGCAACCCTTGATGGAGCTCATGGATGCACTCTACCCACCTCCAGTGTTCTGTCATTCTCCTAAACTCCTAGATGGAATTTGAGGGCTTTGGTGACTCTGTCTGAACACTGAGGCAGCATTTTGAACTTTACCGTGCTGTGCTTGTATGGTAATGTGGTCTACTCTACAGATGGGTGAGTATCACAGATGTTTCTCAGAAGTATTCACTCATTTTAAACTGGATTCAATTCTAAGCCGCCAAACTCAGTTATTCACACCAGAAGCAGCATGTTTTGTATAGCATGGGACACTGCTTGGCACAGCAGAGAGGCAGCTTTCCCAAATCCCTCAGCAGAGAGGCAAAAATCAGTCAATGATCTGATCACACCTGTTCCATTTGCTGCTGATCACAGGTGAATCCACATCCACACAATGTGTCACTGTCCTGGGGATGATAGAAAATAACAATAGTAAAGGCATTGTACTTGGAATATTGTATATGGGATTGCGTGCTGCTTAACACCATAGCAAGGATGCAATCGTGCTGTTTGCAACTAAGACAAACATCAGTTTGTATGAATGTGAGAAGTAGAGAAAGAAAGAAAGAAAGAAAGAAAGAAAGAAACTCTACACTGAGACAATAAATCTTATTGCTTTCTTTCTAGAACTGATGCCCCCAGGCAAGTCCTTTGTTGCCTAGGAAAAGAAAGGCTTCAAGAGCTTCTAAAATCTCCTAATACTGCCACATTTTCCTGAGAGATGCAGGGTATCATGAACTTCTTCAGTGCTCCCCCAATTATAAGACTTGTGCTTAGCCTCTCAGGAAACAGAAACAATGTAGAGTGCATTTGATCAATCAAAATTAATGAACAGAGCTTGAACCATATATTCACAGCAAAGTGTACAAGTAATCCGTAGAGTAAACCATTTCACCCAAAAAAGTGTCAAATAATTAAAACCAAGGAAACTGCAACTTGCTTGTAGACATCCATGAGCAAAAACAGAGGATAACTTTATCTCATAAATTATTGTATGCGAAGTATTTGCTCAGATCTCATGTATACATGGACCTAACTCAAGATTTGATCTATTCTGAATCATATCACTCATTTTGGACACAATTGTATCACTCTGAGATATGGCTAAACAGAGGATGGATGTGCTTAGATATACATTGGGGAAGAGCTCGCAGGCACACTTAGCTTGTTAGAACTTAAAGAGGAGTGGTCACATAGATCACAGCACACAAACTGAAGCCACGCATAGCAGAAACGGACATTAGATATTGCCACCGGAAGGAATAGTCTGTGTTTGGTCTAGAAGGGCAAGACTGCCCATGTTTTTGTTTTACACATCAACACTGACTTTTTCAGCGAAAAATAGGAAGCATATGCCCTAACTTGAACTGTCAAAAAAAATCTGTGGTCACGTCTCAGATTCAGTATGGTGCACTGACTTGGTAGATGGAAAATGACCCCAGAAAATTATGGAAGGAGAATGTAGTCTTGAGTTGAAAATCCAGTTTTTATGAAAGAGAGGTCCAGGAGCTAAAATGGGATTGTCTTGATTTCCTCCTGACCAGAAAACAGAAATAATTTTGCTTTCAGTAAACATCCAGGACATATGGCTTCTATTTTGGAGCCCTTCTGAGACAACGATTCAAGGTCAGTTCAGAGATAGCAAACTTGAGCCATATTTTGACTCATATTTGATTTCTACATCTGTTTTTTTGTGACCACCTGACTTTCACAGAGTATGTGGTATGCCTATTCTTTAGAGAGGGAGCAAATATGTATTCTAGGCTGACAGTAATTCTGGGATATAATATATGCTCCCTTTAAAGAAGAGGAACTGTCCAGCTATATACATTCACAATCAACATACACTATATATGCCAGCAAGTCACACCTATGTCCCTTCATAAAACAATGCCTGTTAACTCATACCAATAGTATAGTACTTGGCTGGGGGGTGCGGGAGAGACAGGCTTTCCATCTGGTTTCCCAGCTGTCTCTATAAAAGGCAAATCTCTTTATTCTAAAAATGTTTGTAGCACAGCCCTTTCAGGAAAACAACAACAACAACAAAACAACAACATTTTGTGACTGACAAGTCCTTTAAAGATTGACACAAGTCAAGTTTTGTCTTGCATACATTACAAATACAGTAATTGTATTTGGGAGACTTTGGGGAGTTATGTAGATAAGAGATGAAATAAGACAGAAGAAACTGTTGGAATATGCTACAAGGAATATAATATTTTTAAGTTAAAGCAAAAAGACAGCACAGAGTAGAGATGTGATCTGTAAGGAAATGTTTGCATTTCCTTGACTTTTATGACTGAAAAACATTGTCCAGCGGGGAGAAATGAACAAGCTCTAGAACTGGGCAGGAAAAAAAAAAGCTTTTTTTAAAAGCGGAAAATTGCAACTAAAATTTAAAAGAAATGTTTTTGTCAACATTTTCTACAGAAAAGAACTTTTCAGTGAAATATGAAAAACAAATATTTCTATTGAAAACCAAAATATTTCAATTTGGAAGTGCTGTTATTGTGCATCTTGGGACTTGTAGCTCGGGCGCCTCATGCTCTGATTCTTCTCCATATGTGCTGTTCCCGCATCAGACTACATCTTCCATGATGCACCATGGTCTCCCCACACAATAAAGGGAAGCGATTGCACCATGGAAGTTCCTGATCTTGATATATCATCCAAGGTGTAGTCCAGTTGGTGTGCGGGGGAGTTCGCCCATAGAGGAGAATGGGGACATGAGGAAACTTAACTACTGCTTCCATAAGGCATTGCAACAGGGTGTCAAACAGAAAAACTTTGGGTTTTGGCAAACATATTTCCATTTTTTGGCTCTGTGTGTGTGTGTGTATTGTTGTTGTTGAAAACAAATGTATTGTCAAAAACAGTTTTGACAGAAAATGTTCAACCAGCCCTACCCATAACAATACACAAACTGTCTACGTTAGCAGTTTTCAGACTGTAGTATATATGTAGGCCACAATCAGGTGGCACAGGGGCTGGTGTAAAGAGCAGACTCAGAATAAGCACATGCATTATAACTACGCTGAATAAAATGAGGATAGAATGCCAAACACTTTGGAGGGTTTGATGTGATACAACTTAAAGTCTGAGCACTGCTGTTACATGTAATTCAGCAGCTCAGTAAGGAAGCTAGAAAGTGTGCGTGGAGATGGAGGGAACACCGGGTGTTTGCCCTACCTTATGTACCCTTTGCAAGAGCCAGACAAAATAGCAGTCCCGGAATTCTGCAGCCTTCGGAAGGCTGCTCCTTCTGCACAGGCCAATGGAACTCTCTGGGATGCAAGCGAGGGAGCAAGACACACAATTGCAAGGGATTGTGCAGCTTACACACTGCTCCTGTGTGCAGGGGACCTCGGGCATCATCCCCCTTCCATGGCTCCTTGGAGCAAACCCTGAGGCTGTGAGGCTCTGTGCCACCTGCAATGAGGGCTTGTGCCCCTGAGCCACAATCCAGCCCTAGCCAGATTGTGATAAAGCAGAGTCTAGCAATCACACTCTAACAAATGTCTGAGCTAACTTTCCTGGGACATTTTATCATTCTGCACTGGGGAGAAAGAGTGGGTAGGGAACGCATTTCCCTGACAGGCAGATTTCTGCCTGACTCACAGTGCTGATGAATGCTGAATGGAAGAGACAAGGATGCTCTGGAAATAAGAAGCAGAGTCAATCTCTGCCTCCCTCCAATGTGTGTAAAACCCAAATAATTGGGATAATTTCCCCAGATATAGTTACTCTCCGGTCCAGTGACTGTCACACACCAAGAGTGGCAGATAGAAAACTAAATGCTCTGATTCAGCCTGGTGCCTGCCAGTATATTACCCAATGCTCCAGCATCAGAGAAGTTTCAAGAACATGAGTTCTGCAATTTGCTCTTCTATGACAGACCATAAGAAATCCCAGGAACATCTCCCTTCAATCTGAGATGACCACTCGCTCTTTGAATCTTTTGTGTTTTGGTTCTTTTACTTTGATTTGACTGCTTATTGCCTTGCATTCTGTGTGTAATCACAAACCCATTTACCTGTGCTCCTAATCTCACTGACACTGCAACAGCCATGACCCCGTGTGTGAGAGTCTCACTCACTTTCCTTTTGCCTGTTGGTTAGTTACTAGATGTCTCTCTTCCTTGCAAGCATGACTGAGCATTGCCTGTGTGCAGCACTGCTGATGCTTTTACCATCTCTGATAAAGATGAGCAGGATTTTTGTACGTATACATAAAATAATTGAAGAGAAACGATCCTGAGACTCCACATTATTAATTACTGTATTGCTTAATGGCTTTTATAACAGGGGAAAGTCTTCTTTTTTGCTCATTCAGTCTCAATGGTTTGCAGTTATGGGTCCTATGATTGTATCACTATCTGCTGGAGAGTGTGCCAAAGCTGCCTCCATTCCTCTGAAACAGTACTTCAGAAATTCAATACTTAAAACTCATTGTAGGGTACAGGTCAACATTCATCACCAAGCACCCCCCATTTGTTAGAGATGCATCACCCTCCTAGCTTTAAAAGGGTTATCTTTAATCAAGTTTTATCGTTCAAGTCCCAAACCTCATGCTACTCTCCCCCAAAGATGTCTTAAGCAGTTGTCTTAATTTTCCTCAACCATCAGTGCACTGAGCCAAATTCTTTGCTGGCATAACTTCAGATAAGTGAGTAGATCACAGGGCCTAATAACATCAGCCACACTATCAGAGGCTCGTTCATCTGCACATCCACCAATGTGATATATGCCATCATGTGCCAGCAATGCCCCTCTGCCATGTACATTGGTCAAACTGGACAGTCTCTACGTAAAAGAATAAATGGACACAAATCAGATGTCAAGAATTATAACATTCATAAACCAGTCGGAGAACACTTCAATCTCTCTGGTCACGCGATTACAGACATGAAAGTTGCGATATTACAACAAAAAAACTTCAAAACCAGACTCCAGCGAGAGACTGTTGAATTGGAATTCATTTGCAAATTGGATACAATTAACTTAGGCTTGAATAGAGACTGGGAGTGGCTAAGTCATTATGCAAGGTAACCTATTTCTCCTTGTTTTTTCCAACCCCTCCCTCCCCCCAGACGTTCCTGTTAAACCCTGGATTTGTGCTGGAAATGGCCCAACTTGATTATCATACACATTGTAAGGAGATCACTTTAGATAAGCTATTACCAGCAGGAGAGTGGGGTGGGAGGAGAGAAAACCTTTTGTAGTGGTAAACACCCATTTTTTCATGCTTTGCGTGTATAAAAAGATCTTCTATACTTTCCACAGTATGGGTCCGATGAAGTGAGCTGTAGCTCACAAAAGCTTATGCTCAAATAAATTGGTTAGTCTCTAAGGTGCCACAAGTACTCCTTTTCTTTTTGTGAATACAGACTAACACAGCTGTTACT